GAGTGGCCAGAAAGTCAGTTAACTAGTTTGTAAAATGTACAATAAAATACGTTACTTTTTACTTGCTTACTGAATTTACAAATATATTTCGAAGTGAGTTCCTCCATGTTCAAGGCACAAGTCACAACACTGTGATACTGTTGTACATGTTGACTGGCAGATTTAAGGCTGGGGCCACATGAGCGCACAAAATGCGTCCGTTGTAACGCACGTCGTGATGTCCATTGTAGAAACAAACAAGAGAGGCGAATGCTACTCTTTCTTCTGGCTCCATTGCATACAAAAACTACGCACCGCATTCTGCAACTGTGTGGTGTCCTCAGCAACGTCCGTCATAAAATACTTTCGTTCCAACGGACGTACTTCGTGTGCTCGTGTGGCCCCAGCCTAAGCTTTAACATTCCCATTAATACGAGAGAATATTTTAGGTTAACTGGCTTCTGACCAATCCGAATATAAAACAACAGGGAACGACGGATAGATCGTCTGCATCTTAATGAAATCGACAAGCCCGTTATTAAGATATTTGTTCAAACTGTAAGCCACGTACTTGAACAAGAATTATCACACAATATGAACGAAATGGATACATCTACCCTGAGGATGGAGACGGATGAGATCTCTGAAACGCTGGTTTTGAATTCGGCATTGACACCGCTGATCGCCTGAAAATGTTTTAAAATTTAAAGTTTAATAATTATAAATCATCACTCTATACCGTCACACAAACTTGTCTGGCAATATCCAGTGCTCTTAAGAAAGATACAGCATTATAAAATTACAATAATTATTGTACCAATTCATATTAACCGATTTAAAATAGATACTTTCATCAGTCGTTGCCTGGTAACGTATTTCAGTGATGGAGATTCTTCAGCTTGCGTACTCACCGTCTTCGTTGGATGGTGTCTGCCTCGCAGCTGCGAGTAACTCTTAACTAACTCGCTTGTCCCGCTGGTCCTCTTTATATAGCCTCAGGTATGACCACATTGGAAACACGGCCTTTAACAGCTCCACTATTACCGCGTGCATATTCGTGTCGGCGATAGAGTTTATCGAGCCGTTACCTAGCAAAGGGCAATTAATCATGTCACAATATTTTTTTGTTTTTGTTTTTGTGTATCAAAATTCTGGGAGGAGAAAAACAGGCTTTTAAATTCTGTTAAGTATTTATAGATCTGTTTTTCTTAATAATGCCAGTCTAGTATATGTTCATATAGAATGAAATTTATCCAATTGAACAGATTATTTGTTTAAAATCTTTAGGACGAATTTATGCGTTTTAATGAATTTTATTTCCGCATTTTCCCTTTTGTGTAGCAGCAAAGCTTTGTGTGCTTATGTTGCATTAAGGGTCGCTCCCTCTTAATGGCAATATTACCAAGCTCGACGCGGCTCTGTACAGCGACATGCTGTGTGTACGTCCGTTGGCAACCTTAATCAATTCCAATTAGCTGAGTCACACTCGCGATTTCATACCGAGACGAAAGACGGTGGAGCTTAGAAGGCAGCGCTGCGTCTCGGCTAAACGCATTATGCATTATAGCCAACGTCAGCCACAAGCACTCAACGATGCGAAGCGGCGATAAGCCAGGGCTACCCCGAGCAGTAAAAGGATTCATTATACTCGTAATCTGTGACAGTTCTTGTCCAATATCTTTAGCAATTTTCCAAGTATTAACACAAGAAGTCTTGATGATGTTGGGTTCGTTTTTGAAGATGAACATTCATGATTGGGCATCAGATCACCTTTCAAGCTTGAAACTTAATATTCGTAAATGCTGACACTCTTTTTTTTTTAATGTTGGTGGGGTGGGACTAAGTCCCTTATACTGCGGCCACTTCTGGCCTATTGTACCAGCCCCAGATGATAGGTGAGGGTGATTGTGGAGCAATTGGTGGAATGAAGATTGGCAGGGGAAACCGAAGTACTCGGAGAAAACCTGCCCCAGCTCCACTTTGTCCACCGCAAATCCCACTTGACCAGAGCCGGGATCGAACCCGTACTGACACTCTTAATTATAGCTAAGAAACACAGAATCAGAACAATATTCGACAAGGTGTATAAAATTTTGTTTCATACAATTATGTCATAGCAAATTATACACTAGATTAGTATTCAAAAGGTGCCGAGTTCGATCCCCATTGCTGATATTAAAGAACTGTACATATTGAGTATTGAGTATAGATGGGGTGGGTTTCCCCATGCACTTAGACCAGTTATTGGTCCATCCTGCGTCCCCCTTTTCAATTTCTACTGTCTCCATACCCTACCGGTACTGGTGCTCGCTATTAGCCCCTTTCTGCCAGCGAGGTTCCAACCTTCTACTGGCAGCGGTATCTAATAGTCCCTTTCTGTCAGTTAGGTCCCCCCCTCCTCTGGCAGTGGTACCTAATACTTCCCCATCAACCGGAGGCATTGGAAACTACTTTGGGCGGGAAACATTTTGCCAAATTTAGCTCAGAGGTCTCCTAGAGACATGAGGTTCTTTTACGAAAATCTACGACACGGGACCCACGGCTTAAAGTCCCTCCCGGAGGACTTGTTCCCTGAATTTTTCCGCCCTTAAAAATTCCACGACCTCCGCCGGGTTTGAACCCGCGTACCTTGAGTCATGAGGTGGGAACGTTACCCCTAGACTACGGAGACCGCTTAACTATATATATAGTAGCATTATCAATTACTTCTGTGTCAGTAAAGTGACTAGTTACATATTGAATGATTGCGGTTTCTAGTCCTGACAACGGAGATTGAATTTTTATCTTAAATGCTAAATCCAGAATGGCTCTGGGACCGATCCTGCAGCTGAACTCGCAGTTATGGCGGCCGGAAGTAAAATGGGCAACTGATATTTTGTGATAAGGATGAGATTACTGTTCCGGAGATATAGGTTCGATTCCAGTCGCTGCCATTAGAAATACGAAAGTAAAGTAACATTACTATACAATTGAAAACTCCTACCAACACTTTTATTTTACAGTGGGCTATAAATAGGCGTAAACGCAATGTTTTTTCAGTTGCTTTGCCTAAGAGGAAAAGTGATCCCCTTCTTTCAGAAGAACGTAAATTATAATGTGAAGGTACACAATGATAGTTTGCCAGAATTACAAGTCTGAAAACAAATTGGACCTGGAAAAATGAGACGGCTGAAGCATTTAGGATAGTAGACTAAATAATGTGGGATTTCTGGGTTTGCGTACATCACCTGTTGTGTGACAGTGAAATATGGGAGGCAGATAGACTCTGGAATATAATTGTAGCTAGGTTGGGAAAGAAGAGAAATATTACAGGATTTTGTTACAGAAACATTTTCGAGAAAGTCCATTTGGAACACCGAGAAGGAAATTGGAAATGGTATTCAGTTGGGTAGTAAGGAAATGCGTTGAAAAGTTGGCAGGATATGCTTTGGAGCATGTTCGATGACGGAGTTTGGTGTTAGAGTCTCTGAAAAGCCGAATTATGCTACTAAATAAAAAATTGTGACAGGTCAGTAGCGTAGTGACACGTTACAAGCCACACGATTTAAGCTGTGTTCCTAGCAGGTATATTACGAGAATTCTACTTCCGGAGAACAAAGAATTCCAGCCAGTCATTGCGATAAAATGGAAGAAGCATTTAACTGACACTTCATCTCTAATAACTGTCGACGATAGAAATGCATAGCTCTTTGTAGGATTGATACTCTCATGGCGGTGGTTGTTAAGACTATCTTCTGAGATACAGTGCAGAGCCAAGCTTTGCTTGCCACTTGCTTTCGCGCTGGTTTCTAGGCGTATTCTTCGACCCTGAAGATGAATACGATATTTTCCTCCGAAACGTCGGTTGACTTTCAACGAACTGCAAGGCGTTATATCCTAAAATATATTACTTTTCATAAAGCTCTTTGTGTCCATGTTCATATGGGTATTTATTTTTGGTGATTAGACACAACGATTGACCTAATCCTTCCAGCCGCGCTATGGCCCTGGGGTCGACTCAGCCTCTAACAGAAATGAGTACCAAGAATATTCTTGGATGTAAAGCGCGGCCGGGGCGTAGGGCTGAGGATCTTACCGCCATCTATGAGCCGATTGTCTAGAAAATGTGGAACCTCAACATCTCACAACCCTATGGGCCTCCACGGCCTGTTACAGGGATAGCTTTACTTTACTTACTTTACTTTTTAAACCCAATGATAATTTCAAGTTTTCGCTAAGTTTGAGTTTCCTTCAGCAGTGGTTCTGGACCATAATACCTTGTAATCAGTGGAAAGTCAATCGACGTTTCAGAGGAACATATCGCCTCCATCGTAAGTGTCAAAGAAGGCCTTGCTTGCTATCTCCTTCCCGTCAGTCTTCTGCTTTCATGACCTCAAAATGGAAGGGACATATTTCTCCGAAACGTCGATTGACTTTCAACGGACTACATTGCCTTATAATAACACAATGAGAGAGCTTTTGAAATGGATTATTTTCCTCAAATCTCCAGAAACACGCATTTCATCATAATTAAAACACTGGGACCGTATGAAAAGTGCTTTGTACTTCTAAGCATTCTATCTCGCGTAACTTGTCTTTACGAACGAAAAACTGCTATCTGAGGTAATCTTGTTCATTCAGTCTGAATTTAACCGTTTACTAAACTCGCAGTCTGATTAATTGTTTGATTAAAGTGACTGCATAATAGGTACTCGGAAAAAAACGCAGTTTTATAAAAAGTGAGAATTTTCCGGTACATTATCGTCGAGCCTGCTTGTTAAAATTGTTATGTTCAAACATTCATAGCGCCTATCTTGTCACATTTTATAAGGCTAGAAGGGTCGGAAGCTCTTTTGAAAGTCCACAACAATCTACTGGCCATCACCACATTCAATGCCGGTGGGTTGGCTGTGTTATACAACTAAAAAAAAGCCATAGCGACTGACTCGGCGGGTTTCGGAAGCGTTCGGTTGAGTTCGTGCACTGGCGGGGTGTCCGAGACAATTGGCGGGCGCACGCCGGTTTCAGGGCCTAGTCAGTGCGTGGTGGGACACCGTCTGTTGTGGAGGTGAATGGGGCCGTGTTTATTGACATCTCAAACGTCGTCATTTCGAAAGGAACTTATCAACAGAGTGGCAGCAGGCATATGAGTGATGAATTCAGTATAACTGTGTACATATTCGTACATTTATTTTACAGAAACTAGTGTTTGAAGCCAAAAGTTGCTCTTTGCGGTTGTGTTCTGTAAATTCGTGTGATACCACACCGATGATTGCTGAAGAGAGACTAACTTATATTATTACTCCTTTTCAGATGTTTCTTGCTCAAAGACGGTTTGTGTTCGAAAACTAAGTTATCTTTCGGTAGTAGTGCCGGATTTTGAATTGTGTGTGAACGTAACTGGATGCTAATGAAACAGCCCATTTCAACTACGGTAGTTCTTTTTGTTTAAAACTTCACTAGTTAAATCAAAATGTACGGTGATTAAGTTACATTCGATCTTCGTTAATTAACATATAGATATAATACACGCAGTTAGGCATGGTTTTGTTTACTAGTGTTTAGAACTGCGGATATTTCTGCATTAGTGATTGCTGTTGATGAATGTTAATTGCGCGTAAAAGTATTCTCGGCGGTTTATAGTGTAATGGAGGTAGCGGTACTGCTGTGGTATTGACATATGCAACATGAGAATAAAATAATGAGTTTGTTCGAACGCCGTTACGTTTTGAAGGTGTACAGTGGTTGGTAGCGACAGATCATGATTCGTGAAGTGCCACTAAACTTGGTTACTGACGAGTGAATGGTTTCTGTTCATTAATATAGCAAAAATTAAAGAAAGACTTTACTATCATGTGATTTTAGTATTACACGAGCATTTTGGTAAAGGGAATCAGTTTTATAACAGTGTTGCAAGATGAGAAGGACAGCAAGTATAAGTGCAAAGTGCGGGTGCCCAGGAAACCAACCTGTGTATCTTCTGATTTTGTTACTGCTTCAAGCAAATTGGACCCTCTCCAAGATCTTGGACGAAGAAACAGGTGAGTGTTACTCTGTATCACTAATTAAGTGCAGTCATTCTTTGCGTTTGAGGAAAACTAAGAGGGGTTTTAAGCTAATCATATAGAGGCAAGTGACACCGAAGTAAGTCAAATGGGGCTGTCCATCTAATGGGGCTAGGCTAGAATAATCTTTCAGCACACAGTACTACCCATAAACACTTATTATTATTAATATTTGTTACGTTTAAAATTGAAATGCCTTCAACATGATGTGCTTTATTAGCATGTATTTTTATATGCTGAAAGCAATGCGCAAAGTTATTTCAGTGTTTGTGAAAAATTAGCGAAATATAACGGAAGTTTATATATTACCAATATTATCAAAACATGACACCAATATATAATACCGATTTAAACAAAAATACAGTATTCCATAATATATGCATTGACCGTCATTTATGCCGTAATTAGCTTTCATAGTTTATCGTACCTAACCATGGACTTGGACGTAACACAAATCCATTCAAGATTTGTTATGGTTCTGTGGAGTATTTTTTTTCTTTGAAATCTTGACGAATGTTTTACGTAGAATTCTTAGCAACGTAGGTGGTAATTATTATTATTATTATTATTATTATTATTATTATCGGCATTTTGCTGCTTAGTAAGCATATAAATACACAAAGATTCGAATTATTATTCAGAATACAGTATAGTGTTATTGTACGAGTGTAAGTATGGTTTTAATATGGTCAAAGATAAGCAACACTCAACTATTTAATAATATCATAGCATTTGCCTTAACCTACCGGTTGAAAATTTGGCACCCATGTTTTGAGCATGGAATGAAAGCACAATATTCGTTCGATTTCCCATGTTTGGAATTCCTCTACGTGGAATTGGCATAGACGTCTGAGTGAAATGCGGTACGCAGTCTCAGAAAACTACAAGTTGCGTTGTTCCTTATGGAACCGTAGAGGAGTACAGAGTAGTTCTTGTGCTGTTTATGAAGTGCAGGATAACACAACTAGAAACGGTTACTTTCCATATATTTTACTTTCCAATATTATTATAATATGTGCAATGAGGAGCGTTTGAAGGGTGCAGGGTGTGAGCAATTCGTCTGGAAAACGTTGAGGTCCATCGGCAGTAGTGGACACAACTGTGGAGCCTGCAAGTTCCGTATAAGACGTGTGATTTGTTAAATAGGGCAATAACTGTTAGCGTCTCAAGAATGGATCTATGGAATGATTCATTTGTTCCATATTTTTACAACCCGTTTTCTTTCCGTTATGTTTATGATAATGTAACGATTAGAAATATGTCACAAGATATCGGTAATCCTTGATCAAATGGGGAAGTTTGCTGCTACGTCTCATTTTTTAAAATATTTTAAATTTTATGCAGTGAGGAATAATTAATTGNACCAATGCTGTTAGATCTCCCATGGACATTGCAGTAAATTCGTTTTGTTGCCGCAAGCTGTTGTCATGTAGTTCATATTCTGTAATTCTCCCCCCCCCCCTTTGGCGCTACAGCCCCAATTTGGGTCTTGGCCTACCTCCATGAAACTCTCCGTTTCACTTAGGTTTACTAGAACTCCCTGAGCGGGTGGTCAGCTCGTCGCAAGGCCTCTACGCGTACACAAGCACAGAAAAATGCACACACATTAGCAAACACTAAACATCCATTCCCTGAGTGGGATTCGAACCCAGTTTCTTTTTTAAAAAAAATGTAGCCATTTATGGAACCCGAAAATACATTTCCGTATACATAAAAGCTGGGCAGTGGTAGCTATCCTAAGTCAGACGAATCAAATCCACAAATGTTTACATAATTTCTGTAATAGCCCTTTTTAAACTTATCCTTCCATATATGCTTAGTGCTACCAAGTTTACCATCAAGATTTCACACAAAATTGTGCAAGTATTTCTCATTTCTCGTGCCACCTGCCGTACTTGATAACCGTACAATAGTTGCAGTCACATGGAAAGCATCCTGCCTCAAGATCCATTGAGAAGCACGGAAACTCTGTTCATTATATTAGAAGACTGAAACCAGAAGCAATGGAACCAATATTCAGCAAACTTTGCACGAATAGAAACCATCTCTTTGCGCAATCTCCTGGTATGATTATTATTACTTATGTTCTCTTACTTCGTGTTCTGAAGGTCACGGGTTCGAGTATCAGCCCTGAAGACCGATTATCATGGTCAAGTTAATTCGTAATTGTCCTCGTGCCTTCCATGCAACTTAATATTAGAATACTATCTTATGATTTGATACCGCTTGCTTTTAATGATCATGTATCACAAAATGGCTGCATAGTCCACAGTGCTAATAACGCCAGTGCCATGCTTCTGCACCGGACGCCATTTTCTGCCAGTTCCATCCACTTCCCATTCTCACTTCTCTATAAAGTAGGCCGCACACTGGTATGCGTCAAGACACGATGTCTGTGACATGACGCAAAGACAGTAGCACAGTTGAAATGAATGAGATTATGAAAACCCAGCACACCGGTCTTAATCATAATTCTGACGTCATTTTCATGCTGACCAATCACGAATGAAGCAAGACTGCTTCTTCTGTCTCATGTCTTGATGCTTGTCCTGACGCAGTTGGTGTGCGCCCGACCTTAGGTTACTTCTTTGGATTGGTCAATTATAAGCGGACTCTGATTCGAATCCGTGTAACTAATGCAGTTGATAATGCGTCGTTAAATATAGAGTAAGACAAAAAAACATGCAACTAGGGCGTTCATGCTTACATCATATCTGTATATGAACCGTTTTGGGATAAAATAATCAGAAAGCCGTTAGTGAAATCTGTGCTAAATGCCTTTTGAACAGCGTTGAAAAGAAGATGGAGTCTGTTGCATATATATTCGTGGTGATGCTGAGTCTCTATGTCAGTACACAGTACTGTGTTAGTGTAAAAGTAAACAGAGCTACGACGGAACTGTAGCTAGCTTGTTCAGTTTGTGTTAGTATGAAATGGTCAACTTTGTCACACATGTGTATGAGAGCATGTCGCAGAAACGTCGGAACATCTGTCATTTTATATACGCAAGTGTTTCGCTTGTAGCATGTTGTTATTGGCATGTGAAGCGTTTCCTCAGATACAGGCTCTTTGTGATGCATTACTGAAGTACGGGTTAATTTGCAGGCTGAGTTTATTTCTCATATTTTTAATTCAGTACTTTATTGCTGCTATGTTTATAAATACGGCGATGGATTTCATGATTAAAAATAGTGATTAGGATTGTATATGGTAAGGTAAAAAAATAAAACTATCCCTGTAACAGACCGCGAAGGCCCATAGGGATGTGAGATGTTGAGGTTTCCACATTTTCTAGACAATCGGCTCATAGATGGCGGTGAGGATGTCAGCCTTACGCGCCTGCCTCGCTTCACCCCCAAGAAGATTCCTGGTACTCATTTCTGTTAGAGGCTGAGTCGATCCCAGCGCCATAGTGCGGCTAGAAGGATTAAGTAAATTGAAAAAAAAACCCACCAAATCTGGACTCGAACCCGCGAACTTCCGGCATGTAGCATAGTGCCTCAACCAACGACGCTATCACGTATATATAATACGAAGCGTAATTTGAGGGGTTCACTTAATTGGAACCATTGAACTAAGGATTTATTCGCAGCGTTTCGTAACATGATATTAAATCACGGAATGTCAGGATTTAATGTATATCGTTCTACAAAATTATATTTAAANCCGCTTCTTTGTAACTTGTTATGTGTGTGTGCCGCAGATTAAGATAAAGTACTGATTTGAAGTTATATTCAGAAGTGGATCAGCAATAAGCAACTAAAAGTGTGTGAAACATAATTAAATATAGATTTTAATTGTGCTTGGATAGTATGTGTTCTTTCTTCATTCTTTGAGTTGTGGCCCGTCAAGGCTCTGGGATAAGAGGACTCAAGCTCTACCGGACCAACAAAACCCACATCCTCAATAAATTAATCCAAAGATCAAAAAACCCTGAGATTTAGCGCAAGAAAGAACAGCGAGAGCGACCAACGTGTGCGGGCGAGGTGAAAGAGCAATTAATAAGAACAAGGTAGGTGAAGGTGTTAAATATAAAAAAAGTGAGAAATGGGAAAAGGAGGCCGGAGCGGTTAGAGAATACACACCTGATGATGGCCATTTAGGGCCGAAACATGTAGTGTGGAGAAAGGGAAGAAGAAAGAACTACAATTAAATTGTTGCACTTAAGACGGAGTTTGTCTCATATATATTATATCGTTCTACTCCGGTTCTCAACCGGAGTTACCGACATGCCGTGGCAGACCTGGCTGAGGATGTTTGTGTTGGGATAGTACCTTAAATAAGTCACATCCACTTTGCTTCACCCCTCTTTCAATTAATCTTTCAAGACCATCCTATCATTCCGCCCCATATAATGTATAGCGGAATCACTGTCGTTAATAATATCAGGAATCGATCAGAACTTTTAACAGTGTAGAGCGCCTGGATTTCGAAGAACATGTTGATTGTGAACGGTTCATTGGGAGAAATGCAGGGGGATTCAGTCTCAGCTTACGGTAACAATACGCAGACGTGGAGACTGGAGCAGTGGCCCCCCAGTCTACGCCCCCCTGGCGAGGAATGAGCATGACACCATGTGAAAAATATGACTTGATATGAAATGCAGCTGAAATACTCAACCTTCCCTCCCTTCCGGAAAGACTGATCAGAATTATCAATATAAATACTAAAGAAAACAGGAACCGGGGTAGAGTATTCGGTATAGCTAGTGGCTACGGGCTGGACGACGGAGGGGTCAGAGTTCGAGTTCCGGTAGGGTCAAAAGTTTTCCCTTCTCCATGTTGTCCAGGTCGGAGATGGGGTCCACCCAGCCTCCTGTCCGATGGGTACCGGAGCCTGTACCCCGTGAATGAAGTGGCCGGGGCGTGAAGCTAGCCACTCATATCCAACTAGTGCTGAGGTGAAGAAAACGTGGACCTATACATTCACTCCCCCATATGTCTTCGTGGCGTAATGCTTAATTAGTTAAGCACAGG